CAGTAGCGAACCCAAATGCGTAAACCATTACACTGTGGAGCCACCACTCATGGCCTGGCTACCATCCAATAATAAAAGCCCTGCATTTAAATGATCTTTGCCTGATTAAATGTACATGTTGCACTCTTTTCAGTTTATAATAATAAATCACTTTTATATCTCTAGAACCTTTTTGAGGAGGGGGAGATGTGTCCTTTTAATTTATTGTTACATAATTTGGTCATTGTTGAGAATACTAAATATGCGACTCACTGTAGAAAGGACTAGATAAATAAAAACTGTTATATATAAAATCGCCGTCTGAACCCACTGGGAAAGAGGGTGTGGTATGTGTATCTTCCTCCAGCTTGGAAGGTGGAGTGTTTGGGGCATCTTAGCTGTTCCTAACAGCTTGCATGCAAATATATAGATGCATTCTCCTACCTTTTCCATGGCTGACTTCTACAGTCCATGTGCAATTTAGAGAGTTAGGATACAGCTCAGGGTAGCCAGGTGATAAGATGATCCCTCCAGGTCCCCTGATATCACCACCACATGATGCTGAATGGAACAAGAAGATAATGAAAGATAACTGTTGCTGGAAAAAAAGGGTAAATTGTAAATGAACCAATAAATCCTTCACCTGAAGACAGAGGGGAGGTTAAGATGAATAATGCATTTGAGTCATATCACATCCTGTCCTGCTATTTTTATTTGCACCTGTAAATCTGCCACATGTGTGCACTCCAAACCAGCCCTAGTGCCTAACATGGCAATACATTATTCATACATTTAGCTATCCACCCAGATTTTCTTAATTCATGGTATCTTAAACTGAAAGAAATTGTTACAAAACATGATCATCTATTTAGTTAAAACACAAAATAACTTACAAGCATATTCAGAGGATTATCATATTCATCTGGATTTAGAATCATTGTCACTTCAAGGTAGAAATTGATCTTTAAAAGAAACAGTTACCATTCAACTCATTTTCAGTCAGGTATAATCTAGTTGTAGATGTAGAGGAAATGAAGAAGAGAAAGGGACAACGCATGTCACGCATGTGGATCAGTGGGGTAAGGATTAATGTGTCTAAAGGTTAACTGGTGTAATTGAACACTGTTAAAGCCTGTAACCTTTTTCTCATGCTGTCATTAGATTTTGTCGTTTCACATAAAGGGCAGAGCTTTTTTGAACTCAGCATTAATGAAATGTGACACGATTTGTGGGGTTTTTCCTTCTTGCATCTGCCTATGTACGTGCTCTCTGACCTACGGGTGGTTTTGCAACCAAGCTCATGAATAGTTTCCTCAAAACAGTTAGAGTTGACAAATATTAGAAGTAGGACTGTTGTGAGTGTACACATTTTCAAAGTAATGGATGTCAGATGATATTTTGGAGGATAACTGGGATGCCTTGGGCTCCGCAGCTGTACACACCCACCCCCTACTCGAACCTCTCTCCTTCCACGCACAGGCCTTCCAGCGAACACAACACACCAAGGCCTGAATCCTTACCCACTGACTAAATTACATCAAATATTTTATTAATGAGCCAAAATTACATAAAGTCATTAAAAGTGGATGAGTATGCTTGGCAAACGATCTACTTCAGAGGCTCCATAGGCAGAGAGCCAATGCATTTGGCACCAGTCTGGCACATACCTTGGCAAAAATATGCTCCCAGATATAAAATTAGTTTCAGAACAAGCACTGGTGTGAAACTATAGTGTGGTACTGAGTCATATGTGCGGCATGCCAAACATTGCATGTATTTTACTTGTTATTTTGTTTCTGCTGAGTGATCCGTGACCATTTTCACAAATGTTCTTCAGGTGTGATACTAATGTAAACAGCACAAGAAGCAACATTGCTCAAATACAGCCCAGGGCATTATTTGGCCTATCAAATCTATCAAATCAAATCCATCTATACATCCTGCACCTCATGTTCTGATGTGAGGCAAAATTTGTCTTCCATATCACTTGATTTCCAACACCTCAGTAAGTTTTCCAGTAAAGCACTAGAGGCACTGTGTTTTATGAATAAAAGGCAGCACCTTTTTTATTTGTCAAACCTACTATGTGCTAAATGTTGCTACACCCATTGCTGGGTCTTTACCTTTTGTCAGAGTGCATCTTTTTTTTAGGACTCAATCAAATCAAAGGAATCAAAGGAACATAATTGCCATTGTAGAGTTTGTGCCATCTACTGGTGGCAATATCCTTTAAGTACTGCGATTAAAAACTGTCAGTACATACTGTAAGTCAAAGAAATTACATCCTATTAAATGTATGTTAAATATTCACTGAAATATTTAATTAAGGAATGCATACATACCATCACAAGTGGGCAGTGGGTGGCTCCAAAAGTGGTTCTTCTCGCAAACTAGAGGCTCCTCGTGGCTCAGTCTATATCCTGGGTCACACTGGAAGGTCACAGTTGAGCCGATGGACAGGTCGTGGCTTAACCGCAAGCCATTCACTGGGATACCAGGATCCATACAGGAGTATGTGTCCAATGTGACCACTGTAGAAATGAAAAGGAAGCATTCTCTTTACATTGGTATTTAAAGGAAGTTATGTATGATTTTACCTCATGTAAAATCTGGATCTTCTTCACACAGATTACAAAGGCTCTAGATGCAGTGTTTAGTGTTGCACTGAGCTATGCATGAACTAGCTGCATGTTTTTGACTCGTGACTGTTATTAAAATAACTGAGCCACACTCTTCACAGTTCTTGTGTGCACGTGTGCACCTGGTATTAAGCAGCATTACTGTAAAAGCGTCGGCTTTTCTATTTTGATACTAAATATAATATGACCTTTACACTCCTGAGGTGGATTGAAGTCACAGCATTCATCAAACATGAAATGCCAATTCTATTTTTGCATTCACTGAAACTTCCGTGTCACATTTTCCCTCTAAAAAAGTGCAGATCGAAGCTTTGATGTTAAAAATCACAGCAACAAAAGGCAGGTGTCAGGTCGCATGCATAATATAGAACGCAAAAAGATTTACTTTGCCTTTCTTTTACTGTTAACTTTAAAGAATACTCTTATGACAAACAAACGACTCTTCAAACCAGGCTATGTTAGTACACAGTAGAGACTGCAGAAAAATGAACTATTGCATTGACTGCCATAATGCCTAACAGTTTCTTCCTGAATAACCTTAATAGAGCTGTCAGCTTCTTTGATTTTTAAAAAAACAGGGTTTTATCTTCATGCCATTTAGACAGGTACTGTGGGATAGTAAAGGGCAGCAGCTTCATGGGGAGAGCGAATTCAGAGTATGACCTTGGTGAAACTGCGCGTCCACTTCATTTCCTTCTATACTAGTCAGCTACTGGAAGACCACTTGAAGTTTTTATTAAACAAAAGCACATTTGCCTGATAGTTTTACTCCTACAGTGAGCTAGTTTCATCTCTCTTAATTTGCAGTGATGCAAGTTGTAAAGAGATGCCCCCATTTTCCCTGTGATTTCCAGGACCGCCTTTTGGATTTCTTCCAAGTAGGGTTGCTTTTGATGCACTAAAAATATGCTGATTTTAGCCACTGACTGACAGTAGTTGTGTAAGCGGTTGTCAGGCCACTGGCGAGGAAGAATCTTAACATGGAAGGATTAATTTTCTGGAATTATAGAGACAATTTATTATTTTATGTAAAGTCAAAGTAACAAAGATATAGCTTAAAACAGGCATATGTTCACATGTTACATCTGGTGTCAGTGACTGTGAGCACTGCATGTATTTAAGTACAGCACATGAACATGTAATTGCACTCCCTGCAGAGACCTATAGCTCAAAACACAAACACTCAAAGTAAGTCAAATATATAATCTGAAAAGCTTTGTCATAATATAGTTTACCTGTATGACCTGCAGAATTTCCTTGTAGCAATAGGGCAGAGTTGCATGGTGTAAGAAGATTTATAAGCCATAGATAATTGTCATTAATAACTAGTGTGATCCGACCTGTGTGATAACAGAGAGATTGCTATCCTCGTGTAAGCCTCTGTAGGAAGCTTGCTTTGCACTACTTTCATCATACATCATATGAATTTTGCTTTAATATGCAGAGCAGTCATTGATCAATGCTAGCAGTAGCCTCTAGGGTGCAGGTATTTGGTGGGAAAATAATTTCCTTACATCTCCAAGCCCATGGAGTCATGTCAAATACGTTACCGTGTAGTATGTTTTAAATGTTTGTGGCAAAAATAATTGTATAGCATGCTGTAATTTTTATTTAACTGAAGAGGTCGAATTTTCTTAGACATAAAGGGAATGATGTAGTGCTTCTGTGCCTTACTTTATTCACAGGATAACTAACCCTTACTTTGCAGACTAATTTTACAAATGAAGTAGGCTAGTTTTCCCAGAAGTATTTTGGCAATAAGATATGTCCTAAAAGGCAATGGAAGAAGCTAATATGATCTTACTGTTATTGCTTTTCGACGGCCTCATCAACAAAAGCAAAATGCACTCGAGATTGAAACGTAATAAGACAAAAGCACTTGTGGCCTGCTTTCAGTCAATAACAGAGACATAATAACGACCTCTGTCTTATGAATCAAATTGGAGTGACGGGGTAATAGTGCTAGTGCAAACAATTGTGAAAATAAATCACAGTATGTCCAGAATATATTTGTACTAGACTTTTCAAAAACTACCATTCAATGCATAATGATGTATACCGAGTCTTATTTCAAATTATGTACCCTTGTAGAGCTAATAGTTTGCTTCAGTTGTTTTGATTAGATTAACTTCACCTTACTCTGCGACCTTGTATTTGAAAGCATGGGGCTACCATTTGCACCTGACAAGTGGCAGTACATTGTTAACAATAGATTTGGGTTGCCAGTCGGTACAGAGGTGCAATCCCACATAGTCACTGTCATCTGGGATCACAGCTCCACAGACATCAAGTGCACTGTTGACAAAAAAAACCCTTTCACTCCATTGAACTTGAGTCCTTTTTCCTTTGAGTGTTTGTTTACATTTACAGCACAGTGTTTGATTTTCTCCCCTACCTGGATAATTTATATTGACCACTGTGAAGCTTCTATCCAAGAAGTCAGAATAATTAATGTTCAACTGCTTTGCTGGACATCATTAACAGCCACTTTTATGTTTGTTTATTGCACAAAATATTTACCAGCAGTACTTTCTAAAAGACTCAAAGAGGGAATACGAGTAGCAGAAAAATATGTATGGATAAATATAGCAGCAGTGACAGACATAATGCTATGCCTCAATGATAGACCAAGCAAGAATGATAGCACAGAGTGCACTATAAATCAAGCTAAATGAAGTTACATTCAATTAAGAACTTACACTGAGTCTGACTTCTGCACCAGCAATCACAATCATAAAGAGATTAAATGCAATGCCACAACTGAAGACAAAGCTTATGTGCTCAACGAACAAACCTATCATAAACAGTAAACATTCAAAGAGTGCACAGCCTTTGATGAGACGAATTATGGAAGTTGTATTCAATTTAGTTTTATACAGATAGTGTCAAGTCTGCTCAAGGCGCTTTATAGTCAAAGCTAAACAACCGACAATATTCGACAAGTGACTACAATTAATATACAAAGCTTAAGCCTTACCAAAGAGCCAAGAGCCCCCGGTAAACTAATAACCAGCATGAAATGTACACTGTGAATTGTGAGGCTTTAACACTAGACAAGAGATGATCTAAAATTAAAAACAGCAGAGCGGACCTCTCCAGCTAAGCTAAGCACTTATGAAAAATTTAAAATGTATCACCTTTAAATGTTAATCACAGTAACTAATCTGAACTCATGTAGTTAGAGAACCCACGCTAATTGAGGCATTTTGTTATGGTAATACTAGTGCTCTTGACATGTAATAGACCTGAAATATTTCCTCAACAAAGTTTAATCTTGGCATTTGGTTTCAGAAACTTAAGTGCTACCAGAAAAGCTGACCAACCAGTCTCCAGTGCCTCTAGCTGAAGCACAGTTGAACTTGTTTAAAATTTTATTCTCTATGTCTAATTATAGAACTGAATGTGTACCATCTCATCTCATCCTTTTTTTGTTGTGAAGAAATTACAGGCAATAGCACTATACTCTCACCTTCATAGAAGATCTTGAAGCCACTGTTTGATCGACTGTTATCGGTGGTAAAGAGCAGATACAGGAAGTTACTACTGCTGAACAGGAACTGAGGGACCTGGGTTCCATTAAAAGAGCCAATCAGAGGAGAGAGCAGATTGGGACCATCGTGAACCTCCAGGAAGTCATAACTGAGCTCAGTTTGAAACCTTAAAAGTTAAACAAAAGGACAGATGGACTATTTGTTACATATTTGTTACATATTTGTTACATATTTGTTACATATTTGTTAAAAAATAAATTTGGTTACCTCATACAGTTTGGTAAAAATGTGACAATACTGAGGTAATAAGGTAAAAACAAGAAGTTATAACCACTTAAACATACAGCAATATCCCTGTATTTTGTACCAACAATGGTTGAGCTGAGTAATATTACACTGAAACTTTTATATTGAGGTTAATAAGGCCTCACAAACTGAGCGTAGTGATGTGGAAACTTACAAGGCAAAACCAATTAGTACTAGTATAGAAGGTCTAGCAGTAAGGTCTAGTGATTTACTCGTTTTCTTAACAGGCAGGAGCAATATAATGATAATATCAGTGTATTTGATTTTTTTAATACTGGCTTTAAAGTTGTAATAACCTGGTGTTTCCAGATGTAACCAGTCTTGATACGGGTCATTGCGTCGTATTTACTTGATATTTCTTTTGTAATTAAGTCACTTGTTTTTATCCCAATATTAACACAGTATTACCAAGCTGTAAAAGAAAATGTAATTTCTTTTACAGAAAAACATCCTAATTTTCTGCAATGGGTAAAAAAAAAAAAAAAAGCGCTACAGCAAAAATTCCAATAATTGGAACAGTTCCTGGAAATGTGACATTGCTATGCATCTGTTGCAACCTTCTTAACCCCCCCATCAAACAACTGGGATCAACACAGATATATCTGTCAATATTATTGACGTTTCCTGACTGAAATTTATGCATTCTTATCTCACTGATATAAGAAACTGTGAAGATTGCCTCGAGTATAGTGCCATCATAGATGTAATGCTTTAAACAGGCATGAGAAACCCTGTGCTCATTTTAAGTGAGGGAAGAGGAAAAGAGGGTTAATTTTATAAATAATAAAACAAAACAAAAAAAGTCACAGTAAAGGCAGCCCTTTGAAAAAGCAACAATTATACAACATGAACGAATGAATGAATTTCATGATTTCACTTATTAATATTAAGAAATAAAGATTTCAAAGCAAGATTTTCCCTTTCCTTTTTTCCCCACTTTCTTTTATTGAAGCTCTCTCAGGAAGTGAGCAAAGCGGGTAAGCAAGATAAAGGATTACTTGAGGCTTTCAACA